GGAGGGTATGCATTCTCGCATTGGTGACAACTTCGGTAATCTGATGTAAGGCTGTCCTGCCTTGAATCTCATTTCGGGCCACTCTGCGGACCAAGATTTGCAAGACTCTATCTGCTAAGCCCCCATTGCTCAAGTCGTAAAAGCTTCGGTCGCCATCAAATGGCATAGAATGATCTTGTCCTTGGCTCCATGTTTCCAACCATTCCACTCACTCAGGGTCGGGCCACGAAAAAGCTAGACGAGGGTTAAGAATTGGAAAGGGAGCTGCTCGGGGTAGGTTTTCAACCTCTATTTCGGAGTTAGCATCATACGAAAAGCCTTCATCATGGTGATCATTCAAGGGGGAAAAGGATGATCATTCTCTGGTTATTCTCCAAACCAACCAGCTATGAATTCATTCGGAAGGTGCTGGTTGCTGAGGGGATGGAGTCCAGCTATGTTTTCTATGAGAGAATTTAGGGGTAAGAAAATAATTATTTAGACGAACTATCTAGATAATTATTTAGAAAACCTTCATTAGTTACATTGCTATTTGTGATGTGCATACCAGCTATGTGTAATCTAAATAGGATAGACCTTCGAAGAAGTGACCTTAACTCCATATTCACACAGAATAGGGGTGAAGTAAAATTTTCACAGATTCTAAGTCTATATCCTCCTAATCACATGTAGCCTTAGTGTATCCACTTAGCAACTATCAACTTTGTAATGAAGATCCCGTTTTAGTTCTCAAGTATTACGTACTTAGTAACACCAAATACTCCTACAGTATTTAAATTTTTAATGTTATGTTCTATTGTTCTCATTGTGGTAGGGTTGGTAAGATTTTAGCATTGTTGCAACCACACAATTAAACTTAGGCACATGCTAGTCAACCTTCGGATAATATAGGTGATCAGGCTATATCTTCCCAGTTCTGACCATATGTCTCTAAGCCTACTTGTGTTGCCCAACAACCATAATTCTTTCGTACTGTCCTAGTGACACTGATTTTAGTATGAATGCAACACGTATACTTACTTAAATATTTTATTATTTAAAGTAAAAACTCTTGGTCAGAGTATTTTTAATCCCTTATGTATTTATAGTTAGTATATCTTTTATGGGTTGATATACTTAATTCACTATAAACAATGCTCTGATACCAATCTGTCACACCCCAAAACCAGGAACGGCGGAAATGTTCTGGGGCGGCGGACGTCATGTATAATATCAACAACAATGTAAAGTAGTAAATAAGCAACAACAACATCCATTACATTAATAATATAATTATTATACAAATGTGTTCAGTCAAATTTTGATAAACACTAAAGCATAAATCAAAATGAAAGAAAAGTCTTGAACAAGCTCCATCTTCCTTTCTCCTTGCTTCGGTACCTGTCTAAGATGACCTGAGAATACAAGTAATTTTGAAAGAGAGTATCAGCTTTGAAGCTGGTGAGATCATAAGTATTAATGTGTCTTAATTTGTAAAACTTATAATTTTTAAGACTTGACATTGTTTTGAAAGAAAGCTCGTATAAGTATGAAAATGTTTGTAGAACAACTATAAATGTTTGAAAAACCCTAGAAATCCCTATGATTCCTATTAGTAACAAAAGGAGTCTTCTACCAAGACTTAACTGTTCTCAAAGTAGTCTTCTACCAAGACCTAACTGTTATGATTGTAGTCTTCTACTAAGACCTAACTGCATTACTATTATTATCATTATAAGAAATTGTATCCCTTGGTACTAGGATACTTAACTATAATTCACCTCATTGGTTATGTGAATGAGTCACAAAATAAAGGTAATAATACAATTAACCTGAATATTACCCTTTGGTACTAGGGTAACTAACATTGTTAACTTTAAGACATCCGTAGACATACTTTTACCTCTGTTGCTAACAGCTGGGTTTAGGAATAGTTAATCCCTTAAAGTATACATGTAATGGTATCAACCGTTGACATCTGTGGATGTGATTTTACCTCTGTAGCTAACAGATATTCTAGGAATGGTCAGTCCCGTAACGTATCCTTTGGTACTAGGATATTAAATCCATTCTACCTCATCGATTATGTGATTGTATCACAAGGTAAAGGTAAGAATGAGGATTTCATAACAACATGTATACATATAACATGTAATGATAACTCGTCATATATTATCTATGTAAACGTAATCATGTAAAGGTAATCATGTAAATGTACTTATGTAAATGTACTCATGTAATTGTACTCATGTAAGCGTACTCATGTAAGTGTAATCATGTAAAAGTAATCATGTATATGTAGTTATGTAAATGTGCTAGCTGTAACATGTGTTCTCTCTCTATCTAGCAAGTATTGACTCATGGATGAACTGACTCATTGTATGATATCGCGTTCTAGTAATGGTTCTAGTATCTTCCTAAACTACCCATATGGTAGTTTACTAGTAATCTAACGGGTAAATATGGACATGGATGTATACCCTTGCTACCCAAGGATATGGGAGGAATGGGAAGGACCTTTTATGACTTTATATGTACACATGATATATAACTAATATTTAAACGACCTTCGGACGAGTATCCGATATCCCACCAGATCACATCTCAATGCGCGAAAAGGAAATAGGGTGGATAGCCTTCCTAAATCTTTTAAGCATTTCTTATATACTATACATATACAGGCATGCAATTTATAATATAAAAGCATAAATAAGTTTTGTAAGACATTTGAAACATAAATATTATTTTAAGAAAAGATCGACTTGATGTCAATCTATAAAACAATTTGAAGGCATAAGTTTGATAAAACAGTTTAAGTACAAGAAAACATTTGTTTGGAACACAGTTGTGAATATGTTTGAAAAGTAATGTACAGAGTATGATGTATAGTGTAATAAGGAGTTTAAAACATATAAAATGTTTATAAAAATCATTTGAAGGAAACTGTTTGGTAAAACGGCTAATGAGTAGCCAAATCATTTGAATGCTGTATATTAATCACATGTGATTGATGTAATAAGTAATATATTCGTACTTACTAATCACATGTGATTGACATAATAAGTAGCATGATTCTACTTGTATCCCCCCCCCCCATAAAACATTTAAAACGGTTTAAAACATTAGTTAAGGGGTATGAACTCACCTGTAGTAAGTGACTGGAATTGAACGGACTGTTATCGTACGGAAGGGTCGGACAAGTGCTTGGTGTCAAGTGAAGACTTAGACACACACAATGATCCTAATTACATATGAAAACATATGTATATAAATAATTAGTGATTAAAACACTAATTATACAAGTAATAACATTTAAGCGTGAGGAAAACACTTTTCGTCAAGTGCTAGGAGGCTAATGGGTTGCAACAAAGGAGTGCAATGCCCCTCATGGGAGTTTAAGGTCAAATGACCATATTCATTGGAGTTTACGGCCCAGGGGAGTAAGCTCCTGGCCGTAAACTCTCAACCAAGGCCTAAATGGAGCTTAGAATTATCACAACTCTAGTAGGGAATTGTTTCAAGGCTTAAACAAGTTTTTGGGTACCATATTGACTCCTTTGGGGAGTTTACGGCCCAGAGACCACATTCCCCATGAGTTTACGGCCGTAAACTCCCTTGGGAGGGTTTATATGGTGCTTTCAAGTCACTAAATTAACTAGGAATAATTCTAGGCTTTGGTACTTGGCTTTAGAAGAGTTTATGGCACATTTGGCACCATTTTATGGAGTTTACGGCCCTGGAACCTTTTGGGCCGTAACCTCACTCATGGGGTTCTAAGTGTTTTAACTAGTCCATAACTCATTTAGGTACATGCCCAAATTATCTCTTGGCTTAAGGAAGGATTTAGGGTATCCTTTGACCCCTTTATAGGAGTTTACGGTCCAAGAATTACTCTTGGCCGTAAACTCTTCAACACTTGTGCTTTCCTTATGTTTTCTAGGTCCTAAATAGTTTAGGGTATTTGTCTAACATAAAGTCCAAGCCTTAGGTGCCTTAAAAACACCATTTGAGCAAGTTACAAGGGAGTTTACGGCCTAAGCTAATCTTGGGCCGTGAACTCCTAAACTTGGGTGTTTCTTGGCTGATTTCTTGTACCTAAAACACTCCTATACATGTCCAAGGTAGTTACTAAGCACAAGGGACAATCTAGACTCGGTTTCGGGAGTTTACCGCCCAAGAACACCTTGGGGAGTAAACTCCTAAATCGGATGATTTAGCTATGTAATCTATGTTATGAACACATTAAAAGCTTTCTAACACTACTAGAAAGAGTTACTCACAATTTGGGATAAAAAACCGAAGATCTGTGAGAGAGAATTTGGCTTTTCTCTAATTGGAATTCAACTAATGAACCAATTTGGTTCAGAATTCTATTTATAGTCCTGATATTTTTGGCAGAAAATATTTCTATTCTCGGAATGAACTCTAATGTCCTAGAGTATTGGAATTACAGTGTTGCACAAAACCTTAGTGCATCCACTCTCCTAATATTTCCTTAGGTGTAATATCCTGAAAACTGCCAAACTTATACTCGAAATCTGAGTTTTCACTGTAACTGTTCTACTTTTATTGGCTGGATATGGTTTGTTCAGAATGGAAATTTCGGGTTGTCACATCACACCTCAGCAGAACTCGATGAAGAATTTAAACTGTAGAGGCATACTAGGGTTTACAAAACAATTTCCAAAGATAAAAACCTTAACCTTCTACGGTGCATGCATGCACTATATATATATATATATATATATATATATATATATATATATATATATATATATATATATAGACACACACACACACACAAATCCTAATTAATAAGATGGTTGGACAGGCCCAAACCGTATACGTATTGGACTAAATGCAAAATAGCCCAATGATGCAACACCTCACACCCAACAATCTCCCCCTTTGCATTAATTTGGGCGAGAGTGCTTTACTATGGTGTCTTCTTGATCGTCTTGAAAAGCTTGGGATTCACAACGAGTAAAGTATTGTGGAAGAGGATATACCACCGAATCATATCATTGAAGTTCTTCATCTTCATCATCATCCCCCATTGGTTTCTTTCCTTTGGAACCCGAAGCTACATTACCCTTCAGTCCAGATTTGAGTGGATATGCTTTCCCCGTTTTGGCAGCTTGATATTTTCCCCCTTGTTTCAGAGGGATAGGGGCCTTAGAAACACCTTCAATGCAGTTAAGTAGAGCGAGAGCTGGACGAAGCTTGTCTGCCAAATGTCTGCAAATGTTGATGTTTAGAATGGGGTCACGTGCTTGAAGAAGATTGGAGAGCAACGAATTCACATCTCCCACACAACTTTTCAAAATAACTCTTTCATATTTGAGCTCCTCCATTTCTTTATTCACGTGTTTAAGCTTGATAGACTGAGATTTGAGTTGAGTGGTGCGTAAAGCAAGTTCGTAAATTATCTTGTTTTCAATAGCTAAGTCTTCTTGGAACCTGGAAAGTGTTGAGGAAATGAAAGTTTGAAATGAAGTGTTGTCAGCAGAGATATCAGTACGAAGCTTCTCCAGAGTCTACCTTTCTTTGCGAAGCGAAGCGTTCAAGTTATCAATTGCATCGTTCACTTTGGAAGTATTCGACTCAGCTACTGTATTGATCTCTATCATAAATCTCTTCGTTTCGAAGATTAGTTTATCGATTTTTTCGGTTGCTTGCAGACAGGAACGAGTGGAGTTTTCAACCGCTTTGTTTGCTTTGTCTAGATTTGCAGCATGCTCTTTCACAAGTGTATCAAGCATACTTTTAACTTCTGCTTCAGAATACACATGGCTTGAAGATGCAGTAGATGAAGCAATACGAGATTCTAACTTTTCAATAAGTGCCCAGATATCCTTTTGAGTTACAGGGGCGTCATCATCGCTTTTTCCCTGGACCGAGAATGGACTATATTGGATGGTGTCAAAGTCGAGTCCATCCACACTGAGAGGTATGTCAGATTCATTGTGAGGTTGAGAAGTGGGAGGTGCTGTAGAAAAGGTTTCAAAACCCGAAGTCTTTGCCCCCACATCAGATGCATTGACGTCAAAAAACGGTTCACCTGTGGTGGTAGTCGTAGTGGTCATTGTTTGAGTGAAAATGGGGTTTTGCAATTGAATAGAAGTAGGCGGTTGTGTAGAAATAGGAGGTAGGCAAGGAGCAATGGTGATAGGAACAAATGTGGAAGTAGGTGATATTGGAGGTGTTGTAATAGAGAAATTTACCTCTTGATCATTTCGGTTGACATCATCCTTAGATTCTCTTTGATGAGCAACATCATATTCGCTCTCAGAAGAAGTTGATGAAGGAATGCGAACCTTGCGAGCTGACTTCTTGACATGTTTTGGTTTGGGAGAAGAGGGAGCAGGATTTGAAGAATCGCCTTTTGTTTTTTGCTTCTTGGGAGTCTGAGCTAGGGCAGACGAATTTCAATTGCTTTGGTTTAACCCCTTTCTTGACCTTATCAGCTTCATCAAGAGTGTGCTGCATCTCAGGAGTTATGACCTTGGGTCCTTGAACTGCACACTTCTTGTATTCACCAATGATTTTGCTGGCACCAGATACGCACTGATACATAGATTCAGGAATGGAGCCCAGAAAAGAAAACTTGGAGTTGTTAGTAACGATGATCTTGGTAGTGTGAACTGTGGCAATTGATGACATCAAAGAATTAGCCATGATTGGTATGTTGAGCTTTGCGATTGCACGCTGTACCATGATGGTCCAAAATCGTCCACACGAAATCTCGCTGTGACGAGTAGTAGAAAAAAGGTTACTATGAGGTTTTTTTTTTTTTTTTTTATAGAAACAATCCATATGCTTTAGATTTTCGTATGTTGTAGGTTTGGTCCCGATGTTGAAAATAACTTACAAGATTGTCCCCGTAACTTATAGAAAATGTACATATGCATTTCTTTTTATAGAAACAGTCCATGTGTTTAAAAAATTACAAAAATAGTACATACCTAATACAAAATTTGCAGATTACCCCTATAAGTCCCCAAATTTGCTTGGTGTATCAATCCGATCCACTTGATAGTGCGGATTCCCAATCAAGTGGATGATGCAAGATAGAATGGAGAAGAAGAAGAACTAGATGAATCTTCAATGTATTCAATGATTTGAATGTTGATTTGGTTACACAAGATTCACATACACACACATACATACACACACACACACACACACACTTCTCTTTAGTTTCTCTCTCTAGGACACAAGTATGACAATAATAGCTCCCTAAGAACGCCCTTACACCTTAGCCACCCATAAATGCTCCCCCTAATGACTATTTATATATATGGACCGAAAACCCAAGGCCTGAACTTAAAGGCTAGACTGAAATCACATGAGATTTCGGTCCAAGCTACAATTAAACCCAGGATTGTCTTCGGCCCAAGACCGAAAACTACAAAAGCCTAGAAAAGCAAAGTATAAACCATATTTAGAACACCCCCCCCCCCCCACCACCAGCACCACCATATATTGTTATGTTTCGTCTCTCTCTCTCTCTCTATATATATATATATATATATATTCTTTTGTTTTCACACTTTGGCCACATGAGTTTTGCATATTTTCATCGAAGACTTGTTCCCTACGCTTTCATAGTTACACAATTCCGGCCTTGTTTGCGTCCCCTGCGAAGCGGGGACAGGATCATTTATAGTTAAGAGTAAATCTTATTGGCAAAGGTGTCAACATGCATGATTCCTTATATCTAATTTGTGTTGGTGATCCGGAGATTATAAAGCATCTTTTTTTACGATGTGAAATCGCACAAGTACTTGGGATGAAATTTGTAGATGGATGGATTTGAAAAAGCCTCTAGTTCTCTGGATTACGGAATGGTTCAATTGGTTGGAGTTGTTCCGTACAATACTAAAAGAAAGGAGATTATGAAATCCATAATTATTGATAGTACTTTTTGGATAATTTGAAGTTTTAGAAAGGATAAGATGTTCAAAAACAACAAGTTAATTAGCATAGGAAACAAATGATTCTTAACTCTATTAAAGTGTTTTCTTTCACTTGGTTCAAAAATATAGAAATCCAAAACTGTTATTTTTCGGTTGATTGATTAAAAAAAATCAATCAATGCTTTTTCTTTGTAATTTCCGTTACTACTCTTAGCATCTTGCTATAGTTTTTAATGCAGAACTATTACAAAAAAAAAAAAAGGTCACATAGTAAGTTCAAAACAAATATCACACGTGTTCGGTATCCTAATAATTTATTACTTTCAAGTTGATTCCATAATTATTATGTCTTTCCTTCCACTCTTTTCAACATTTTTTTATAATAAAATAATATTTATATAAGAAAAAATTTATTTTCCATACTTGAAGAAAGTTAAAGGACATGAATTAAAAATAAATAAACATATATTACTTGTTTTACTTAAAATTACTTTGTACGTATAATCTGTATTCCTAGATTCCAATAAAATAAAATGTAAAGTTTTTTAAAAATTAAAATAGACCCGGTGAAAACACTTTTATGAAATAATAACCAGAAAATAATAAAAATTAAAATAAAATAACATATTGTTTATACATATAGCAATGCTTACTTCAAAGGTATTGTATCATTGCCACTTAAGCCAAGATTGGTTTGGTGAAGTCAGCTATACAGTGAAATAGAATTATCAAATTCCATCTTCAGATATGCTATTTAAACCAAATTCAGAATTCACTTGTCACATAGTTTTTTTACAAGGTTTTACAAAATCATAACTAAAAGGGTAAAATGAGATTCTTTAAATAACTAATTAACATTCTTATAGAAAAATGTTTTTTTTTTCTGTTATAGTAAACTTTATCTCTTTTTAAATGAATTAGTCGTATTTGAAATTTCCTGTCTCCGCTCACCAAATAAAATAATAAAAATAGTTATCTTGTATTTTTTTCCTTAGAAATTTACAAAAAGAAAGTTCACCTTGTACCTTTTGGCTGCATCTAGCTACTTGATAGATGTAGTGTTTTGTTTATATATTTCTCGCGGGTTCCAAAATTTTTACAAAAAGAAGAAAACACACCAACCCCACAATCAATCCACACCAACCCCACCATCATTCATTGAAATGAATAAGGAAGCCATGTCAATACATTTTATACATGAAAATCTGAAGGATGCACTAAAATTTTGTATCTATTAATCATGGTAAATTGAAATGATTGAGCCAACCACTTTCAAAGTTTATATCATGAAGTTTTTACTTAATTATATTATAATTAGTATTTTATCAATTAATTATATTATAATTAGTATTTTATCAATTAATTATATTATAATTAGTATTTTATCAATTACGTGTTGGGCGGTGACATCTATTTTATAAGTTGAATTTGGAAAATTGTATTAATTTTGTATCTCTTAATCATGATAAATTGAAATGATTGAGCCAAACACTTTCAAAGTTTATATCATAGAGTTTTTACTTAATTATATTATAACTCATATTTTGTTAGTTGCATGCTAGGCTGCGACATCCATTTTGTAAGTTGAATTTTAAGGATTCTATTGATAAAAGTTAAGTATTGTTGTATTTATTGGTTGATGAATATATAGCCGATATCACTGATTAACTCCAATATATACTATGGAATGAAAATTTATTATATGTGACTAAATTTATATATAGAAAATATACACAAAAATAAGTATGAAAATGTAAGGAAAACTGGAATTTACAACGCACATCAAAATAAATAAGTAAAATTTTTTTAAGTTAACAAATGGAAGTTCCAATAATTCAAAACGTATTATATGTAATCATACATAAAATAAGCATGAAAAAGTAAACATAATTTACGTCGAAACATAGACAAATTCGAATTTATATGACGTGTACATAAAAAAAAGGTAAATTATTATGATTATTATTATTTTTATTTTTTTATTAACGAACAAAAGTTCTAAATCTATATCAAAAAGTTGTTACCTCAAATGTATGTCGATACATACTAAAAAATAAGCACATAAAAAATTATTCTTTTATAAGTTAATAAACGAAAGTTATCAAAGAAAATCGAAAAATATATACTATGGAGGATAAATATGAAAATTTACAAAATGGTTGTGGTGAAATTATATTTTATAAAGTTGAAAGTATAAGGGGTCAAAGTGACAATTTAAAAAATAAAAAGAGGATGTATCATTTACAAAGTAATTTAAAAAATAATGAAATATAAAATATAATATTTTAAAATATTCCAACAACATTTATGTTTAACTAGAGGGTGTACCGACGCTCCGCATGAAGCGCATGTTGCTATTTTTCTTTAAAGTTTTTAAAAATGTGTTACTTGTGGCGCAAGAAGATTGTCACAGGAACAACTTGTCAGTTAGATACATGGTCACAAACACAAAACCATTTTACAAATTTACCCATCATCTTCGAATGACTGTCACGTCACCAATTTCCACCTACATCTGTTTCTTAATCGTTTTAAATAAAAGAACATCAAATTACTTTCATGTATTTGTGTATTTCAGTTTGAAAAATATTTACATATTTATAGCATTGTACTTTTAACTTTTTACTTGGAGCCCAATGCTAGAAATAACTACCTATTTGCTTACTTCTTACCTAGTTATAGCATTATACTTTAAAGAATACTTGTTACTTTTCACGTCATTCAAATATAGGCTTTTGGCATTGGACTCTAAAAAAAATCTTAATATGACAATGTACTTAAAAAAACTACCTAATTATAAAATTATACTTTCATTTTTTTTCTTATGTCAGGTTTACAGCCACAGTTGATTTTCCCATACCTCCCTACATTTATTACAAATAAATAGAAACCATAACAAAATGAAATTATTACAAATACATAGAAACCATAACAAAATGAAATTTAAGATACGAAAAGCATTAAATTAAATACATAGAAACACCAAAATATAAGAAAATGAAGTTTAGCAAGTATATTTGATATGATAAGCATTAAATGATTTGGCACCTTAGTCCTTGTAGAATTGTTAAGCATAATGTGTTCAAAGTGAATTCCTTGCACTAATTTAGTTACAAGTAACATTAATGCATAATATGATTGTTTATCAAATAGTATGTCTTTTTGTCTTTATCACTACAAAATGATACAACAATAAAGTCAAAGGCCTCCTTTGTTATGGAGCACATGAAAAGACAAATATTGCATTTCTTTTGTCTCCAAATGAAATGTTCTATAAAAAAGAATTTACATGCTAACAAATTTATGTTGCTAAAGGAAATGCAATAGGAAGGAAAAGTGTCTTATGTACAGAAATACTGCTTAAATGGTGGTTTTTATGTAAGATGTTTAACATCAAAAAAGATAAACCACATGCCATGAATAATCGGTCCAAAAATGTAGCTAACAAAAAAAAAGTCTATATTAGAAAATTTGTTACATTGCAACTTAAAAAGTCTATAAATCTACTTTTCATGTTGTGCCGACATTGTGACCTTAACATTTTTGACCTAGAGAAGAGAAGACACAACCTCATTAGCCATCTATTGAAACTACAATTAAAAAAGATACATTACTTGATTCTTATTACTAGAAAATATAATAAATCTAAAATTTGCT